CAAGTTCTTTACCTTCACCAAGAAAAGCTAGTTTCTGGTAACCTTTCTTTATAAGGTTTTAATCACCCCAGAGTTTTATCCCTCTCAGAGTCAGTGGTTGGCTCTTGTATCCCATGAGTAAATGCAAATGTTTCCTCCATTTGAAAGCAAAACCAGTAAGACCCTTTACTTAAAAAGCGAGTTAAAACAAAAAGAATATAAAAACTAAAGGAAGGTAGTAAGTAAAGCATTTAGCTTTCTGAAACAATTCAAATGGGGATAGGAAGTTGGTTTTAAATGGCTTAAAGGGGATTAGGGTTTTAAAGTTGGATAAAGAGTTTGGTGCTTTGGTTTAGGCATGGCATAGCTTTTAAAAGATTACTTCCATATTTGACAACGATTCTAACTGGAGATTATAAAGTAAACAGTCAATTTTAAGACACCATGGGAAACAAGAGAGTTTCTTTTTTGTTGTTGTTTGTTTACACAAAATGGTAGCCTAGAGTTAGGCTGAATCCTGAAGCCCTCATTTAATAATACTACCGAGGATCTATCACGAGAGAGAATCCAGCAGAGGTTGTTTAATGCACTTAATTGAGATTATCTGAGCTTTTGGTTTAAATTACTTTGGAAAAAGTCTAGGTGCAAACAGCATCTTTGAAAGGTAAACATACTTACCTCTGAGTAAAAAAGGTTCAATTTAAGTTCTTTAAAATTCTTCGTATAGGTTGTAGTACAGCAACCTTTATTATTTAAATTTGGATACTGGCTGAGTAATGCATAAAGATAAAATTACATCAGTACAAGGGTTAATATATATTATTATTAACAGTGTTTTAATTACTTTGCAATTATTTGAAAACACAAAGTATTTTACTAGAAAATACCCCCTGGCACTTTTAGTAAAGTGAAAAGATCTATTTTGGTTATAAAGTGCAGTTAATGAAGTTTTAAAAATGAATCTCATTCTGTTTCATCTAAGAAGCACGCCGTATTAAAATGGACCAAGGATGGCATATACTTAATTTATGTATTAACTGTGGGTAAATAATTTCACATTTTATGTTCCCCCATCTTTCTCAGCTCCTTGACCTATTTATGGTTTGGGATTGGTCTACTTATCTAGCTGATTATGGACAGCCAGCTTCTAAGTACCTTCGGGTGAATCCAAACACAGCCCTTACTCTTTTGGAGAAGTGAGTATATTCTGAAAACTTTTTTGTGTGACGTTTCAGCATTTTTTGATTCAGTGATAAAATGAAGAACTAGAGATTTCCATCAAAAAAGAAAAGTCTAGATGGAGCTTAAAAGCTCACTCTAGTTGAATGACCAAAAGTTAAGCCTTTCTTTCTTGCCCTTCAGAGTTGGTGTAGTGTATAAGCAACAGCTATTTATATTGATATGAACAAAACATCTTTGCCTTTGTATTCTGATTTGCAAGCTTAATTGACCTTAGAAATATGTTTACTGGGGATGTGACAATTGGAGCTTTCTTTTTTTTAAAAATCTATAACTCAGGAAAGAAGTTATTTTGTCAGATGTGACCAGGAATTGGAATGTTTGCTACCAGTGTTATCTAAATCTTAATATTATGGACTTGGATTCTTTACAGGTAGAGAAATATGTGATTTGAAAAAAATATATAATAAAAACCAAGGTAATAGGATTTACAGATGCATCTTGTACAACTAAACCTAAATTTAGGTGTCAACTTTTCCTTCTCATTATGTGGCAGACGTTTTCTTTACTCAATCATATTTCATTTAAAGTATCACTATTGGGAGTCTCTCTGAATCTGCCGTGATTCTGGGGGCTGCTGGATAAGAAAATAAAAATAAAAAGTATCACTATTAAAATTTTCAATTTCTAAATTAAAATTGTGTATTATTTTCCTATATTTCAAAATATCTGTGGTGTATTTGACTTGAATGGACAAGAGGAAGTGTTTAAAGTAAATGTATTTTACAATGCCATGAAATGCAACTGGGCCAAAAACGTTACTGTTTTGCATTTTCTAATGCTATTTTCCTTTCACCTTATCTTGCTATGAATGTGATTAGCAGAGTCTATAGAGGGTATGTATTTTAGCATACTTTGTGGAATAATATTAGAAAATAGTGTGATAGTGCCAAACCTAGCATATTTTAGATATATATACTAATGCAAAAATACCACTTAATATAGCATGTAAAATAAAGCTTCTAATTTTTTGCATGGTTGCTATATCTGTATATTTATTTAGTACCTACTTTCTTTGAAGTATATTTTTCAAGCATAGGATTAGTGTGAGATAATTCAGAGCATGCCAAGATATTTAACTTGTGACAGCTTAGCCTTTAATTTCCTTTTACTAAGCTTCTTCATTCACATATGTTTCTAGGATGAAGGATACTAGCAAAAAGAACAATATATTTGCTCAGTTTAGGAAGAATGATCGAGACAAACAGAAGCTGATAGAGACAGTCGTGAAACAGCTGAGAAGTTTGGTGAATGGTATGTCCCAGCACGCATAGACTTCACGTCGCTTGCACTCAGTGACACCAAATCCGTGATTCAACATTGATCTCGAGCAAGTATTGGTCATGATATAGTAATTTGTTTACAGAATCTAAAAATACAATAGAGAAGATACAGGAGGGCTTAAACAAGAAATAGTAATAAATATCATTTGTATGGATTTTTAAATAATCGAATACTATTTTATATATGGAAAAAATGACCATTTTTTTCACTTTTAGGGGAAAAATGCAGAAGTGTAATACATAAATTCTCACAAATTGTACATGAAACTGATTACAAATACATTTGAAAAACTTATGCCTCTACTCATAAGTTTTTTTTTTTCTATTTAGACTTGAATGATAATCTGTTTTTTGATCAGTATATGGCTTTGGAATGCAGTCACGTCTGTTATGGTAGTATTTCACTACCATTTTCTGACTTTTAGCTTTCATTTTCACCTCAGTGTGATTTAAGCAGACCAAAATTTATAATTCTGCTAATTCTGAGGGGGAAATAGACAAATCTTTAAAGCTTCCTAAAATCAAACTTGATTTAACTCAGTAAGAATGTGAATTATTTGTTCTACTTGGGTGGTTTAATTTAATCATTCTGAATATGAACAAAAGGTTTTGGATTTTCTAAAGATGCAGTGTTGTTTCTGTTCATCAGGGTTAATATTTCTAACTATATTGCTTGTAGCTGACCCCATTCTGGATTTGTTTGGTTTGGTTCCAGTTAAAAGAGAGGACAGGAACAAAATGGGGCTAACCACTTCAGGTGCAGCTTGTGTGAAGGTAGATGGTTCTTACACACAGAAGTTACCACAGGGGTCAGGTTACTTTCTTCAAATAGCAGATTTCAGTACTGTATCCTCATTGTGGAAACAAGCCAAACCAAATGAACTCTGGAAAACCTAAAACAAATGTACATTTTCTTTTGTGTATGTTTCCGTGGCCCAAATGGCAATATAAATCCAGTCTTTATTCTCCTTTTGTTGTATTTATGCTGAGTCCTCCCTTTGACTTTTCAGGATTTATGCCTGTAAGAAACCATGCCTGACTCTGTAAAATAAGTGTAAAGAATTATAGGTACATCTCTGGATTTTGTGATGAAATATTAAAAATATTGAGCAAGTTGAAAATGCATTGCTGTTTTGTCTATTAAGAGCTTGCTGATTTAAAACAAGTACTTCCTGGAGAAAAGGCTTATTATTTCCTAGTTATTGGAATGGGAGTGACACCAAAACAAACAAACTATATATATAATATTATATATATAAATAATATATATATATTATATAACAAACAATATATATATTATATATATGCACTTGTTCTCTTGATCATCTCTTAATCCACAGTATTTCATGTTTTTAAAGATATTACATGAAAAGCGTGGTAATTCTTCAAGCACAGTAAAATCTGGAAGAGAAGAGCGGTGAACAGCTAGCTCTTTCTGAAGACTGGAATGTGGCTATCCCTTGTGCTTTACCCAGCCCTCCAGCCAACCTGGGTGTCTTGCCTGCTTTGGCTGAGACGTCCCAGGATTCAGAGAGATGCTGCCTTTGCACTGCCTGGAGCAGACCACTGTAGGTCCTCTTTACTCTTCCCAATAATACAAGCACCCTGCACCCTTCCACACACCCCAGGTTGCGCTGTAGGGACAAGGACGAGTGAGTCCTGAGGCATTTGGAACGCTTGGATGGGACGCACAAAGCCCAAAATGTAGCAGTGTAGATTAGAGTCCGCGGGGAAATTTGGGGGAGGGAGGGAAGGATGAATTCGGCCCTTGATACCGGAAAGGTGCTGGTGGGTATCCACTTCTGGAGGCTTAGGGCGTGTTTATGAAGCCTAGGGCAGCAGTGGTACTGGCATCTATGGAAGGATACCTGACGTGATACATCAGAGAGCCGGGAGAGGTGGGGAGCTGTCAGAGGATCTCGGAGAATCTCGTCCCGGCTATCCCTAGTGAGCTCTTGCGAAGCCAACGCAGGCGTTGGCTACCGCAGTTTCCCTGAAAATAGTAGGAGCAAAGGAGAGAAAAGCCTAGTCCTTTCACCTTGGAGTGGTGAGAGGAGGACACCTAGAAGCTTGAGGGCGGGATCGCAGAAAGAGCCAGCGGCCGCCGGGGTGGGCCAGGAGCGCTGCGGGGCGCAAGCCCGGGTCTTTTCTGCCGGTTAGGTTCGTAGACTTTCTGAGCGCCTGCGAAGAGTCGGGAAACTCTGGCTCGAACCTGCAGGTCCGGCCCGAGGACGTGCGCAGTGCAAGCCCCGAGCCCAGCCCAAGCACTGCCACTCCCTACTCAGAGCACCCTCCTTGAGTGTGCCGCTGCCCACGGCCACCAATCACCACTCTGCGTGGAGCGCTTTAAATATGCAAAACACGTCACGTTGTGTGAACCGGTATCGGTCCTTAGGGAGGGAGCCAATATCTATATAAACTTGTCCAGGATGGGCCGAGAAGGGTTAAACGACTGGAGGAGGGAGAGGTGGGGCGGAGGTCTGCAGACCAGGTTGGCAGCAGTGGTGAGTTGCTCCTCTCTTCGCCCTCCCTCGCTGCTTCTATCCAAAGAGTGCTGAGCCCGGGAGGAGGTGGGAGGTGCCGCGGGGTGTGAGTATTACGGAGGCAGCGGGCATCTTCAAGAGGGACTGGCATTTGGGCCCAGGAACTGGGAAAATGTCCTGAGCTCGCCGGCCTCGAGGAAGGCACGTTTCCTAAGGGCGCACAGTCACTGCCGTCTTCCACCGCCCGTCTGTTTTTAGAACGGAGTTCTCAGCCAAGCTTATAAATCTCGGGCTTGGCCCCCAAGCTCCAGACTCTTTCCGGACAGAACAGGTGAGCACTTCGCACTGCTCTGGCGGTTCTTGAGTCCCCTGCACTCCCTGCGCTCCCAGCGGCCTGGGCCCCGCGGGCTCATCATGTTTCCTTGGGGGCTGAGCTGCCTGTCAGTGCTGGGGGCGGCTGGCACTGCTCTCCTGTGCACCGGCCTGCTGCTTAGCCTAGCCCAGCACCTCTGGACCCTCCGCTGGATGCTGAGCCGGGACCGGGCCTCCACTCTGCCTCTGCCCAAGGGCTCCATGGGCTGGCCCTTCTTCGGTGAAACGCTGCACTGGTTAGTTCAGGTGAGCAGTCGTTCGACCCCGAGCGCTTTTCTCGGTTCCCACGGGACCCACCTGAGTCTCAATGCCCACGGGATTTGTAGCCAGTCCCTGTTCATCACCCACGACCCCAGGAAGCACGCACAACTCATCGCCTTTGCCCACCTACTCCGTTCCCTCGAAGGGACCTCAAGTCACTGTAATTCTCCCCAGAGCAATTCCCCGACACAATGCAGGCGGTAAACGGAAGGGGTTTTAGGAAGGGGTCTGAGGAGCGTGTGCTGCAAGCGTAGAAAAGGAGCCTGGGGCTTGTCTCCACTGTGAGTCCTTGGGCGCTCACGTCTTCATTCTGAGCCTCGGTTTCCTCATCTCACCAATAGGAACAGGAGCATGTACATTGCCATAGAGTAGTTGTCAGGCCCATTGGGGATCTTGTTTTGTAAACGCGCCAGCCAGGGTCAGCCAGGGGCAGGGAGTTGTGACCGAAAAGGCAGCTGGGACGTCTGGGTCAGATCCCCGGCCCGGGCCCAGAGGTTCCAGCTCTCCTCGCTCTGCCTCGCTCGCAGGGCTCGCGCTTCCACAGTTCTCGCCGGGAGCGCTATGGGACAGTGTTCAAGACTCACTTGCTGGGCAGGCCAGTGATCCGCGTCAGCGGCGCAGAGAACGTGCGCACCATCCTGCTGGGCGAGCACCGCCTGGTGCGCAGCCAGTGGCCGCAGAGCGCGCACATCCTGCTGGGCGAGCACACACTGCTAGGTGCCGTCGGCGATCCGCATCGGCGGCGGCGCAAGGTAAGTGGAAACGGGAATGGGCCGTGGAAATGTTGGATCCGCGGTCCCCGGCATCTGCAATGGGTCAGGCCGGGTCCCCAGTGTTGCGTTCACTGGGAATCCTACCTATGTGCCTGATAAGGATCGGGTGGCCTTGGGCGGGTCCGTTACCTTCAGCTTTGATTTATAAAGTTAGGACTGCGCTAAAGGGCTCTTTCATCTCCCATCTTCTGTGACTGTGGTACCAGAAGCGCTGGAGACTCAGGCCTAGAGAGGGGCCAGGGAAGACTTCTTGGAGGAGATGGCAGCTGGAGCCTAGATGGGAGGGATTATGTTCATCAGAGCAGAACTGGGAGAAATGGTGAAAGCAAAAGCCAGCAAGTGTAGGTATGGGCTGCTTAGAAGAAGGGGAAAGAACCGGAACTGGCCTACTGGCTATTCCGGAATCGCCAAGCAGAGAAGGCCCGACTGCCTCCTGCGCTGATCACGCGCGCTCCCGCAGGTCCTGGCACGAGTGTTCAGCCGCGCCGCGCTGGAGCTCTACGTGCCGCGCCTGCAGGGGGCGCTGCGGCGTGAGGTGCGCTCCTGGTGCGCGGCGCGCGGGCCGATCTCGGTTTACGACGCCGCCAAAGCGCTCACCTTCCGCATGGCCGCGCGCATCCTGCTGGGGCTGCGGCTGGACGAGGCTCAGTGCGCCATGCTGGCCCGGACCTTCGAACAGCTGGTGGAGAATCTCTTCTCACTGCCTCTGGACGTGCCCTTCAGTGGTCTGCGCAAGGTACGGCCGCCCCAGCTTCAGACCTTCTCCCGAGGTTCCGCGACGCAGGCTGGCCTCCCAGACCCAGACGGGGCACCCTCCGCCCACTCCGCGCGTCTGTCACCTCTGCTGGGTAACGGCGGTGCGGCCTCGGGGTGGGCTGCGTCGTGGCGGTGGCGCGGCTGTAGGCTCCGGACCTGGCCTTTGTGCTGGTTCGCTTGTGTGACCCGAGGCGGGCCACACTCCTTCCTTGGGACGCGCCTGCCGGTACACGCTCCAGCCTGAGCAAGCTCGGGCCGCCAGAGTTTGGAGTCTCGGTGGCAGACGTCCGGCCAGTCGGTCCGATCCCTTCCCACAGCGGCGTCTCTGGGTCAGGCCTTCATCACCTCTTCTGAAGCCCCGATGGCTGGGGAACGGGAACCGTGGAGAGCGCGAGGGCTGCAGATGCGCCCCGAACCAGCCCGGCACCAGCCCCGGACCCACGGGGATGGGTGTCGGCTCCACCGGCCCTGGGCCCTCTAGGTTTCCAGATCAGAAAACTGCTGCCTCTCCAGACTTCAGAGAAATGGGCAGGACCCGCAGAGTAGCTATGATGGCCCATCCCGCGTTTTGGTCGCCCTGTTCTGGGTCTTCCCACTGTTTGATTCCCTGATTTTCTGTCACCTGAATAAAAATAATATGTATAAAAGATCATGCTGCCGGGCGCGGTGGCTCAAGCCTGTAATCCCAGCACTTTGGGAGGCCGAGGCGGGTGGATCACAAGGTCAAGAGATCGAGACCATCCTGGTCAACATGGTGAAACCCCGTCTCTACTAAAGCTACAAAAAATTAGCTGGGCATGGTGGTGCGTGCCTGTAATCCCAGCTACTCAGGAGGCTGAGGCAGGAGAATTGCCTGAACCCAGGAGGCGGAGGTTGCGGTGAGCCGAGATCACGCCATTGCACTCCAGCCTGGGTAACAAGAGCAAAACTCCGTCTCAAAAAAAAAAAAAAAAAAAAAAAAAAAAAAAAAAAAAAAAAAAAAAAAAAAAAAAAAAAAAAAAAAAAAAAAAAGATCATGCTATAGGCTGATCACTGTGGATACATTTTCTGATCTAATCATCGCAGCCTGCAAAGTGTTATTATTCTCATTTTATTGACCAAATTTATTTTATTGACTTACCAAGATCACACTGTTAGTAGGGGCAGAAACAGGACTTGAACCCCTTCTCCTCTGACTACAGAACTCAAGTGCTGAATTACTGTGCTTTCCCTGAGGGGATGCTTTTGCTGTGACTGTTCCCTGAACTCTGGAGAGGCATCCCCTCTTGCCCGTGCCCTTACAGAGGCTAATGCTTACAACATCCAATAGTGTCCTCTAAGTCAGAGCTTTGCTGGGGGCATCAAGGTGCCCTGGCCTGAGCCTAGTGCAGGGAAAGGGCAATGGGCTGACCCTAGCCACACTGGGCTTGGTGCCAGGCATGGTCACAGACAGCTGTGTGACTCTGGGCAATTGCTTGACCTCTCTGAACCTGAACATCTTCTCCTCAGGATGACAGTAAACTCTGCCATGGCTCAGAGGGGGCTTGTGATAATCAAGACAGAATGATGTTTGTGGACAGTGGACATATCCCCAACCATTTACTGTGCCCAGCCATATGCCAGGCCAGGAGCTAAGCTGGAAGGCTGTTATCACCAGGATGTTGGCACAGCCAGTGCAGAGAAGGTTTTCTGGGTAAGTGGCCAGGACTGGCCTCCTTAGTCTTCCTGCCCCATCTTTCTTCTCTCCCTGCACATCAGGGCATCCGGGCAAGGGACCAGCTGCATCGGCACCTGGACGGGGCCATTTCTGAGAAGCTTCATGAGGACAAGGCTGCAGAGCCAGGTGATGCCCTCGACCTGATCATTCACAGTGCAAGGGAGCTGGGCCACGAGCCCTCCATGCAGGAGCTGAAGGTAGGGGCTGGGAGGTTGCTCCTTCCCCCATCTTTTGCATCCCCAGCAGGCCCCTACACCAGTGCTGCATCCCCAGAGCCACATCCTATGTGGCCCCACTTTGAGGCAGAGGCACTCCTCAGATGAGGGGAAAGAGGAGACCTGTGCTTCAGTCACGTCTCAGCCACACTCACTAGCTGTGCAGCCTACAGCCACCTGCCACCCTTGTCAGTAGGAGACCTGAAGCCAAGAATCCTAGGCCCATCTTTGTATGTTTCTGGCCACAAACGGCTCTCTTCCCTTTTCTTTCCCCACCTACTTCCCTGCCATTCTATGCCTTTGCCTCTGCTGTCCCCCTGCTTGCAAAGCCCTCATCATTCATTTTTGTACAAACTCTAAGGGGCTCAGGATCAAACTCCACATCCTCAAAGCTCCCCTCTTCCTTCCAAAATCACCTCTCTCCTTCTATGAGCTATCTTGGCATCTGGCACCTCTATCTGTCTGTCTGGCTGCTGTGGATCTCCTGGAGAATTAGGACCCCTCCCCATGTACACACATCACACACACAGTGGAGGGGAGGGGAGAAGCTTTGGAATGGCCTCAGGACCCACTTCAGCACCCAAAAAGGAGTGACGTTTGGGGGAGGGGAAGTTAGAAATTGGGAGACCTCAATCTTCCATAAGCAACTACCACCCATCCTTTTTCTGGGCCTCAGTTTCCCACTTTCTACCAGACATCCCTGAAGGGTGGACTCAGCTTTAGCTTCTTTTCTGAGAATGGAACTAATAGGAACATGAATAGGCCGGGCACGGTGGCTCACGCCTGTAATCCCAGCACTTTGGGTGGATCACGAGGTCAGGAATTTGAGACCAGCCTGGCCAACATGGTGAAACCCTGTTTCTTCTAAAAAAATACAAAAATTAGCTGGGTGTGGTGGTGGGTGCTTATAATCCCAGCTGCTTGGGAGGCTGAGGCAGAGAATTGTTTGAAACTGGGAGGTGGAGGTTGTAGTGATCTGAGATCACACTACTGCACTCCAGCCTGGGCAACAGCAAGACTCCGTCTCAAAAACAAACAAACAAAAAGAACATGAGCAATGGACTCATGAGTCCTGGGGGAGCCAGGTGGACAGGGACTCTTCTGGGCTAAGGGGAGCAGAGTAAAAAGGAGTGGACAGGGCTGGGTAGGGGTGATAGCACCCTCCCGGTTCTCAGGAAGGGACTCACTGGCCAGGAATCTTCAGTTCTGGCCTGGACCTCAGGGGCTGGGCAGGGAGGATGCTGGGGGCTCTGGAGTCTCCATCCCAGTTACCCTCTTGTCTGGTGCAGGGCAAGGTTAGTGGGCAACCAGGTCTTTCATTCCGCAAATATTATTTTGCACCTATTCAGTGCCAGGCTCCACGCTGGGACTGGGAATATAGTGGTGAGCGAAACACAGTCAGTGTGCTCGAGGTTCAGGAGAGGAAGGAACACGTACATCTTGTGATAGCGTGAATCAGTGTATAAAACAAACTGTGGGTGCTGCCAGCAAGGAAGGCACTGGGTGGGACTTGAGAAGGCAGAAGCAAGCAGTCAGCACTGGAGCCTGGAGGATGAAGCCACCAGGCCCCTCCTCTGCCGTTCTTGGGCAGAGCAGACCAGGAAGACCTTTTGTGACTCCTGGGACTACTGCGGTAAGGAGAGGATGAAGTGGTGAGGCTGGCCTTGGTAGGAGGCTGGCGCTGCTGCTGCTGCAGGTGCCTTTGTTGCATTGTAGCCATTGTCAGGCTGCTCCGCTGGGGTTGGAGGCAGCACCACAGGTGGTTAAGAGCGCTCAGCCCGGCTGCGAGTGCTAGCTGTGGGACCCTGAGCACTTCTTCGGAGCCTCCGTTTTCAACTCCATAAAACAAGAGCAGCAATTGTGCCTCACAGAGGGGAGGGGAGGTGAGAACCGAATGAGTGAATATTCTTAAAGCACCAAGGAGAGGGCACAGAGTAAGTTCCCGCATTCTCTCTGGGAACCATCGCAAGGCGGGGGGATAGATCCTAATTTTGTCAGTTGCTATAGGTGACTTTCCCAAGTGGCAGACTTGGGATTTAGTTCACTTCAAAACGGTGCACATAGTCGCGGCAGGAATAGCACTTCTCTGCCTCTGGCTTTGCGCAGTAGTAAATCTGGGTAACTTTCATCTCCGGGGGGCCGTCGGGCCAGCGCCCCGGTGCGGGAGACTCAGTGCCGCCCGGGGCTATCTTGCAGGAGTCGGCTGTGGAGCTCCTCTTCGCCTCCTTCTTCACCACGGCCAGTGCCAGCACCTCGCTCGTCCTGCTGCTACTGCAGCACCCAGCGGCCATCGCCAAGATCCGAGAGGAGCTGGTGGCGCAGGGGCTGGGGCGCGCGTGCGACTGCACACCTGGGGTAGCGGGAGGCGGCTCGGGGCCCCTGCCCGATTGCGGCTGCGAGCCGGACCTCAGCCTCGCAGCCCTGGGCCGTCTGCGCTACGTCGACTGCGTGGTCAAGGAGGTGCTGCGCCTCCTGCCGCCCGTGTCCGGGGGCTACCGCACCGCTCTGTGCACCTTCGAGCTAGACGTAAGTGCGCCGCGCCCGCCCACTGCCAGCCTCCTGCCGCCTGCCGCGGCGCCCAGGTGGGAGGAGGGCGGAGGGACTCCGACGGCGCGGTCTTCTCTTTTGCTCTCCGAGCCTCATCCTTCAGTCCTGTAAAATGGGCTGAGCCTTGTTCCACTTCCCCGATCCCGGGCTGAGGAACCAAAGCCTGGCCAGCCCGCAAGAGTAGGGATCTCGTACACTTCAGCTCTTGGCGGCGGTCCACACGGGTCAACTAAATGAGAGCGGAGTTTTAGAATAAAAAACACACTTTTATCCATGTAGCGCCCCCTCCCAGCCAGTGAGTGTGGATGGAGAACAAAGAGAACCCCTCAGTACGTCCTGTACTCTACACCTTTGGCTCCCACATAAGATCAAGGAATCCCTCATTGCAACCCGTCCAGGGCTCCTGCTGGGGCCAGATTCCAGGGGTGGGGAGAATTACAATACGGATGAGGCTGGTTTGGGCCGAGCAAGGTTAAAGTCTAGAACTGACTCCATCTCCGTACGACCTTGTGCAGTTCCCTCTTCACTCTGGGCCTCAGTTTACCCTCTGCAAGGAAGCTGCCTTGGTTCTTTCCAGCTCTGACACTCCAACCAGGTGGGGCGGGGCTGTGGGGGTACCGTGGTGGCCTCAGGCACTGGGGCTCTGGCTGTGCCAAGCAGCGGGTGTTTGCCTGAAAGGCTATCACGGCGGTCCCCTGCTTGGTGGCTGGGTGGCTCCAGGCAAAGATGGGCACCTCCTGCCACAGTGAACATTTGTGGCATATTGTGTGCCAGGGTTAGGAGGCATCAAAGGGACTGGGATTCTGCCCTGGAGGAACTCCACTTGGAGAGGGAGGGGACCAGGACCGACAGCGTCATCCCACTTGTGGTGTGAAGAGAGTGATCTCTAGTGCTGGATGACACCAACACATTTGGAGAACTGGCATTTGAACTGGAGCAGTGAAAGGTTAGGATGGGAGAGGTCACTACAGAGAGAGCAGACTCAGACAAAAGTGGTGATAAGTGTCTTGGATGGGGACTCAGTCTTGGAATGCAAGCTTCATTCTGCAGGCACCAAAATGCCCTCCATGACCTTAGGGGAAGCAGGAGGGGAGCACAGAACCAGTAAGTGGGCAGAAGACAGGAAAGGGTCTTAGCCACCCTCCAGTTCCCAGGACACTGATGTCTAGAGAGGAGAGAGAGCTCCTGGGATGATTCCAAGATGTTCTGTTCCCCAGTTAGAAAGTTTTGAGTATTCACCCTGGAACTTGATATAAGAATAGCAGTGTAGTGAGGGTATTCGAAGGCATATCAAAAAGCCAAACGGTTGAAAAAGCTAGGGATGGGCAGAGAGAACATGAAAGCTGCCTTCCAACATTTTCAGGACTGGCCAGTTTGATTCTCATGTGCGCCTTCTTAAAGTGTGGGTACCAAATCTGAACATTATTGTCCAGCTGATGGATGGGAAGGATGGGAGGTTTTCAGCTCAGTGCAAAGAAGAGCGCTGCAATGGATCTGACCTCGAGGAATTGTCATGTGTGTTTCTCCCACCCTAGCAGCTGGTAGGTGCAGCACTAGAATTTAGGTCTTCTGATCCAAGGTCAGAAGAAAAAAAGACAGACAAAACCAAACGGGGACCTAACTAATAGGTCCTTTTTACTGAACACTCATATGTGCCAACTCCTTAATTTGAATCCTCACCAACAAAGTGGGCATTTTCCTCTTCATTTTTTCAATGAGGAAACTGAAGCTCAGAGAGACTGCACATCTAGTCCAAGGTCATACATTTCACCAGTGAAGGAGTTGAGATTGGAACACAGAGCTTTCTCCTGGTTTCCGGGTTAATCGCGGTTTCCTCCTGGTTTTCGGAAGCCTGATGGGGTGGAGGGTAGGTTTTCACAAGCCTCCACTGGGGTGGAGGGTCGGTTCAGGGTCCCCAGTTACCAGGTGCCTAGTGGTCAGGCTGGTCCTCGCCTCTCCGCAGGGCTATCAGATCCCCAAGGGCTGGAGCGTGATGTATAGCATCCGAGACACGCACGAGACGGCTGCAGTTTACCGCAGCCCTCCCGAAGGCTTCGACCCGGAGCGCTTCTGCTCAGCGCGCGAAGATTCGCGGGGCACCTCCAGCCGCTTCCATTACATCCCGTTCGGCGGCGGTGCGCGCAGCTGCCTCGGCCAGGAGCTGGCGCAGGCTGTGCTCCAGCTGCTAGCTGTGGAGCTGGTGCGTACCGCGCGCTGGGAGCTGGCCACACCCGCCTTCCCTGCAATGCAGACCGTGCCCATTGTGCACCCCGTGGACGGGCTGCGGCTCTTTTTCCACCCCCTCGTGCCTTCGGCTGCAGGGGATGGGCTATGCCTCTGACCTGCTTGCACTGTAGGACACGGCTAGGCCAGTGGCTGTAGCAGGCAGCGCCACCCATCCGCAGCTTCCCATTGTAGCGTCGCGCACCCTGTCGTTCACTCGTGCAACAATCGTTCAACAAGCGTTCACCAAACGCGAATGTGTGCCGGACTCGAGGGAAGAGGAGCTCGAGCCACCGCTGCTGTGCCAGAGAAGCATCTAAGCCCATGGGAAGGTGCCTTCTGCGCGCCGCGCCCAGAGGAAGGCAAGGTCGTGGGCCAAGCTTACAGGCTCTCGAAGCAAGAATGGAGGGAATAGATAGATCCCCACTAGGTGCTGCCTTACTTTCCCTTCCCGAACCAATCCAGGGACGGTGCATGGATGGGGAAGGCGGGGTAGGGGTGGTAGGGGAGTAGGGATATTGCAACTAGAGGACCTTGAAAAGAGACCCGAGCACGCGGTGGGACCTACCACCCATGTAGAGAAGCGGGGACGCAGCTGTGGGCGCAACGCTGGCCTGGCTTTGGGGCACAGAAAAACACACAGAGGAGGCCCGAAGGAAGGCCCCCTGGCAGCTGGCCTCCGGCTTCGTGCACCTTGGCCACTCTGCTGGTCTCCGTGGGAGCTCTAAAGAGCTCAAGGTCACTAGATTCTGCTGGTGACTTCTTAAAAAGAAAAATTCCTACTCTAAGAACGTATTTAGTCTTCTCATGTATATAGAGACTGGGCACACCAACACGTCTCCAACGCTGGATTAGGTTCATGGGAAGTTGAGACATAATCAGAAAGGTTTAGATATTTGTATCAAAAGTCGGAAGGCCAAGAAATAAAGTGTCTTAGGAGTGGTTAAGTGAGGAAGCTAGGGCTTAGCTGGGCAGCTGCTCCCTGGGGGGAAAGCACCCGGGTGAGGGTTGGGAAGGCCGGGAAGGACCCACCACAGAGTATACCCAGAGAGGAGCTGGGAGCTGGGCAGCCGGGGGCCTGGGCTCCCCTGACTTCTCTCTGAGTATAACCCTTGAAGCTGGGCTGTGAATTGTCTCCAGGTTTCAGGGACCTTTTTTCCCCCCTTTTTTTGGAGGCAGGCTCTCCCTCTGTGCCCCAGGCTGGAGTGTAGTGACATGACCAGCTCACTGCCACCTCTGCCTCCTGGGCTTAAGCCATCCTCCCATCTCACCCTCCTGAGTAGCTGGGAGTAGCTGGGGCTACAGACATATGCCACAATGCCCAGTTAATTTTTTTCTATTTTTAGTAGAGACAGGGTTTCACCATGTCACCCAGGCTGGTCTCAAACCCCTGGGCTTAAGTGATCCGTCTGCCTTGGCCTCCCAAAGTGCTGGGATTACAGGCATGAGCCACTGCTCCCTGGAGTCACTGCTTTCCTGTGACCCCAGTCCCTGTGTGCTTACCCCTCCCTGCCATTTCAGGGACTTCTGGTTTTACTGCTTCACCATCCTCTCTATCACAGAGGAGAAATTGAGGAGCAATTGAGGTGAATGACTCACCTGAGAAGCCCAGCAATAGGCTCCTGGACTCCCCAGCCAGTGCTCTTCCCACCTGATCCCTTCACTCTTCTGCCCCAACCTCTGTTCTTGCAGCCATCAGGTAGGGCTGAACACTTTGGCCTCCTTTTCATGATAAGCCCTAGCTTGACTTGAGGACTCTCTCAACCATTCCAGTACAGAGGTTCCAAACAGTGTGTAAATCAAAGCCAAAAGCCTCTATGTCACCATTCCCAATCTCCCACTTCAATCTGCCACCCAGCTTCTGACAGGCGGGGGCAGCTGGACCTAACCGGTGAGCCAGGGAAGTAGCCGCCAAGGCCGGAGCTGACCCCTTAGTGAACCAGAAGGAAGCCAGTGCCCTTCTGACCTTATGCTTAAGGTGGATTGTGGGGCCAGAAGGAAGGGGGACACAGCAGGCGCTTACAGGGATGGTAGCTCCACAGCGCAGCGGGCCCTTCCGACCTGGGCTGACGCCGCCATAACCCCCATACAGGGCAATTCATCACCCATCGCCAGTCAAGAGCCTGGCGCCAGGCCCTGAGCTCGGCAGACACCAGGGGCAGCAAAGGTGGCAGGCTATGGGCCTGCCCTAAGAGGACTCTTGAGGATGCAGAGGACAGCCTGGCCTGAGAAGCAGGGTTTGGATGAGGAGAAGGATGCAGGCTTCCGGTTTGATGTGATTTCGAGAGAGGAGAGAAGAATGGGGTGGGGACCCTCAGAAGCAAGGCCAGTCGAGCTGGTTCCAAGAAGACCTGCTCTGGGGCCTGGACTAACTCTAAGCCTCTGTGGGGGTGGCTCCAATTTTAATTTTCCATGGGTACATCATGCTCAGTAATTTCAAGGGATAGCTGAGCTCCTGTCTTAGTAGCTGCAGATTCTCTAGGGAAGGAGCTGAGGAGGTTCCTGCCCCTCTGCACTTGACATGCTCAGAGGGAAACAGACAAGATATAAACTAGCAAACAAAAAAGTAAGAATATGTCCAGCGGTGATAAGCGCCGTAATGGAAATAAAACAGGCCTGTGATACAGAGTGTCTGTGGCTAAATTAGGCTGGATGGGTGGGGGGAACCTTGCAGGAGGTGACATTTGACTTGGGAAGGACCCAGCCAGCAGTGGCCTGGGGGAGGGGTGCCTCAGCAGGTATAAAACCCTGAGATCGGAAATGGGAAGAGGGGTGGAAAGGAGAAAAGTGGAGGTGGCCTGCTTTGCTGTGACTCCAGCGCCCTCACCCCTCCCCACCAGCAAAACAACCGGACTCCCCACCCCTGCCCCTTAGCGATAGGGAGGCTGTTTTGTAAACATCTTGGAAACAAGCTGTTTTTCAGTGAACCAACCCCCTCCCCACCCACCACCCCCCACGAAAGCTTGGCAAGGTTCCTAGATCAAAGTTCCTATTGGGCTGGTAATTTATTGACCCCCCCGCCGCCCTACCCCCCTTCAAGATGTTCTTTAATGATCGTTCACTCTCACATTTAATCCTTTCCTGTCTGACGCCCCCGCCGGCCTCAATGGACAGATAGATTAAAATGTTTTTTATCCCTGCGGCAATTTCCAGCTCATCTTGTGACCCGGCTTGCGCTGAACTTGGCGAGGTGGCCCCGCAGAGATCACTCGGATGTCACGGTCCGGCCTGCAGGGGTCACAGGCGGGTCAGGACCGAGGATTGGGAATGGGCCCCAGGTCATGTCCCCGCTCGCAGGCTTTGCACACCGGCCGGAGGCGCTGTCCAGAAAGGGGCGGACCCGGAATTTCTGAGAATTACCTCCAGCGCGATTGGCCCGGGTTCCTGCGGTGGCCAGAGGTTGGCTCGCCGTATTTACAGCCACCAAATCGTTTGCCAGAGACTGAAACCCTGCCCAGAGCCTCTGAAACGCTGGGCAGGTTATGGGGAAACGCTGATCCCCCCGAAACATGCCCTGTGGCAGCGACTCCGGCTTGGAGTGTCGCCAGGATTGTGCGGGTCCCTACGACCTCGGCAGATATTTCCTGATACCTCCGGGTTTGGGGACCACCGCGAGAAGGGCAACTCATTTAAGCTCTCAGGAGCAGCTTTCCATCTCCAAGGGACTCTCTCTTCAAGGCGTGCGGCAGGCTTCTCCCAGAGCCAGTGTTAGTTCTAAACAAACGCACGTCATTCTGTTTCGTTTTCGGCGCCGCTCGTGCGTTCAGCGCCCAAACCCAGGGACAGTGTGGCCCTGACTAGTCCCGAGCCGGGAGGCTCCGCCAGGTGGAGAGCCGGGAGCACAGGTGCGCGTCCCGCAGCGTCCGAGCTCCCGTCATTGGCTACAGTAGAAGGTGACTGTAGTTGGGCAAAGTACTGAAGACTTCCCAATACGGATTCCTTCACCACTCCTATTGGGAGTCGGCAAAAGCCTGAGTTTCGGGCCGAGCACACTCTCACCTGGGTGAAGACAGTGACTTTACTAAGGGTAGGACTTGAGAGAGAGAAGGAGGACTCCAGTGCCCGCTGTCCCGGCCACCCAGGTTACACAACCTACCGTTCCTGGAGCTGGGAAGAATAGTTGCAACTGGAGCCCCCTTTTGGGAACTCACTGCCCCGAGGCTTAGAAAGGTCGGGAATGAGCGCCTCCCTGTTAAGGAGGAGGAAGCAGGCAGTGATGTGTGGTGACTTGCCCAAGGTCACGAGCAATAGAGATGGAGCCGGGCCTCGGAGCCAGGACTCCTTTTCCTCTTTCTCCGTCTCTCCCGGCCAGGGCTAAGGACCTCTTCCCTGCTGCCCAGCTGAGGCCCCAAGCTGCAGAGCTCTCAGAATGGGAGTGGGGGACGGGGGTGGTGCTGTGCTCGGATCTCAGAGCAGGGCGCCGACTGCCTAGGCGAAGTGCCCCAGAGTCGGGGATGAGGCTTGTGCAGAGTAGCACCTGGATACCTGAGGGACCTGATGCCATCTTGTATCCTGAAGTAGGACCTTCCAAGACTTCGCGAGTGCTGCCCCCCTTGGGAAGCTGGGGATCCCAGATCTGCCTATTGCGCGCGATGCCCCGCGGCTCTCTCTTGGACTCTGTCCCTGGGCTCTTCTGTGCAATCCTTCGGAAAAGTCGGGAGGCCTGCTTTATGCATCTCTTTTGGACCTCAGTTTCCCCACCCGCAGGGGAAGGCAGCTGGACGATTCCTGAACGGACTTTTCCTTGCTTTCTCAGCAGGTGGAAGGGAGCCCACGCAGCGCCTGGAAATGGAAAGCCAGTGAAGGCTGCTTTGGGCCGGGGCAGCGGGTGGGACCGGGTGGGAGGGATTCCAAGGAGACCGCTGGGAAGGCTAGGGCTTGGAATTCCGGCTCCTCTGAGCCTCGGCCCTCCCCCATCGCCGCCTCGGAGCTCGGCACACCTTGGAGGGGGGAGGCGGGCAGCTCCTAGCCCCGCACCCCGGGAGGCGCGCTCGGAGGGAAGCCGCCACCACGCCGCCTCTGCCTCAGCGCGGAACAAACGGTTAAAGATTTTGGGCAGCGCCTCGCTGGGGGAGGAGCCAGGGGCCCAATCCGCAATTAAAGATGAACTTTTGGTGAACTAATTTGACCAAGGTAACGTGGGCAGCAACCTGGGCCGCCTATAAAGCCGCCGCGCCGCGGGGTTTGGAGCGCTGGCGGTGGCGGCAGGTGGCGCAGGAGGTCGCGGCGCGCCATGGGGCTCCCGGCGCTGCTGGCCAGTGCGCTCTGCACCTTCGTGCTGCCGCTGCTGCTCTTCCTGGCTGCGATCAAGCTCTGGGACCTGTACTGCGTGAGCGGCCGCGACCGCAGTTGTGCCCTCCCCTTGCCCCCCGGGACTATGGGCTTCCCCTTCTTTGGGGAAACCTTGCAGATGGTGCTGCAGGTAAGGGAGCCTGGGGCGGGACAGGCCGCTTCCCCGGAGGCCGGCGCGGCTCTGGGCTTCTGCTGAAGTCGGTGCAGGCGCCCCCGGGAGGCAGGCGACTGCGGCTAGGAGCAGGGCTGGCGGGAGGCGCGGCGCTCCCCGGCGCCCCCTCATGCTCACCTCTCTCCTCGGCCTTCCTCCCACAGCGGAGGAAGTTCCTGCAGATGAAGCGCAGGAAATACGGCTTCATCTACAAGACGCATCTGTTCGGGCGGCCCACGGTGCGGGTGATGGGCGCGGACAATGTACGGCGCATCTTGCTCGGAGAGCACCGGTTGGTGTCGGTCCACTGGCCCGCGTCAGTGCGCACCATTCTGGGATCTGGCTGCCTCTCCAACCTGCACGACTCCTCGCATAAGCAGCGCAAGAAGGTGGGGGCGGGGGGCGATGCTTGGACAGGGAGGGGGACCCCATTTGTGAGCGGGATTCCGGCCGATGGATGCTGGGCGCGGGCCAGCCGCGTGAGGTGGGCTAGAACCCTTTGCCAGTTCCAGGTTAGCTTTTCCAGTCCGGAGAGTGCCATGTGTCTGGCGGGACTAGGGGTGTCTGGAAGGGGACGGCGGGAGACGAGAGGGGCGGATGGAGGGTCTTAACCCTCTCCCCTCCTTGGGGCTCAGGTGATTATGCGGGCCTTCAGCCGCGAGGCACTCGAGTGCTACGTGCCGGTGATCATCGAGGAAGTGGGCAGCAGCCTGGAGCAGTGGCTGAGCTGTGGCGAGCGCGGCCTCCTGG